CTGTTGAACGCGGACGGTGTTGTTTTTGTGTCTGATAGTTTGCGGTATGATGCGACGAATTTATGGTTACGTCGATCGACAACGGATTGCACTCTGCGGGTAAAATAAAACAATCCTGTAGATCGTTTAAGTCCTCGTACTTAGTTTCTAAGAAAATTAATTTCGAAGGGAATCGCAGACTTTCAGGTTTGAAGACATCTTGTGCTCAATCGTTTGAGTCCCAAGCAGCGCGATCGCGCTGTTCAGGTCTTGTATCGCGATCAAATTTTAGTGACGCGCGTACATCGCATAGCTGCCTTCTTTCATTTTTTTTCTTTTTGTTTGGTTTGTCAATTTTTACGAGCGCCATCGCGCCGCTTGGTTCTCTTCGCAATCAATTAAGACAAGCGCTATCACGCTGTTCGCCACTTTTCGACCGTGTTTTCTGAATAACCCCTCGGACTCAAACGGTTAAAAATGGCTACGGCTATTCGGAGATAAAAGAATGTTCGAGCTCGAATCTATAAACTGCCTCTTCAACGCATCTTGACTAATCATTCTTTGCAGCCGGTGCAATTTTAGCGACGAAGATGATCGACAGTTGGAAATAAGCGATAATAAGAGACTCTGGGAACCATTTCCGGGATTCCAAGGGGTTCGAGCCGATCGGCGGGAGACAGCCGGTTCTAATGAACCCGTCCCCGGCTGACCCAGGCAGGGGCTGGATGAACGAATTTCGTGCGTGCCTCCTACGCCGGGCATCGGAATGCCGTAATGGAGGCTGCCTGCGGAATATCAGAACGATGCGGCGCGGCGTCGGCGTCGTCGTCGCGCTTTAGTACGACGAACCTCCTCTCGAGGACCCTCGAAACGAGACCTGCGAAAATTTTGAATACCAAACAATGGGGCAATGAGATCGGCGAGTGCTCGCAGAAAAACGAGAAAATAGGACGAGTCCTGGAGGAAACGAGTATACAGGGTGAACAAAATAATTTCATCGTTTTAGATATTTTACTTGATTTTCATTCTTATATGAACAAATGTCGAAGTATAACATTTTTATTTTTTAGTTGGAAATTAAAATCATCGATTTCCTAAGATTTTGTATTCGACGTAAAATTTCTGTTTATCACAACAGTTCCGCTTTAAAACCAACACTGTTTTCCTTTGGCATTTGTTCGTATTATTAAAAACAAAAGAAATGTTCCAAATGATTATTTTGTTCATCCATCAAAAGATGGTTTAAAAAAGGCTTTAATCTTGAAACGCATGCTGGATTCATCGTTGAAAGCAATTCGTCCATTCCTGTAGAGACGTTCGATTTCATACCATTTTCCAAACAAGGGTATCCAATCTCGCTACTCTGCGTCATGCAAAAAAATCTTAGAAAATGATTAACGATGTACTGCAGAGCTAAAAACGTCAAGTACCAAAACAACTTTGGGTTCACCGCCGTACAATTGATTTAGAAATTACAACAATTTGATCATCGACAAAAACTCTGCAATTTAGTGTCCAGTGCTTACGCAACTATCCTAGAACCAGATTGCAAGTTATCGTTGCAGACTGTGCAAGCGGAATATTAGACGGCCCAGGAAGTGTTCTGCAGGACAGAAGGGTGAACATAAGGCAAAAAAGAAAAACTTTATCAGGGCCGCCGTGCAAAGTGCAACGTTTATATGAGCATCCTGGACAAAAGTCGTAACATCTAAGCTAATCAATTTTCTACCAAAATGCCTTAATAATTTGTCAGAGAAAATACAAAGATGCATCGATCTGCATGAAAAGATTATATGATTTTATAAAAAAAGTGATGTCAATGTTAGGTCAGTGTTAGGTCTGGTAATAAACTTCGTTGATTCCGAAGGCCGCATCTTTCTGTAAAAAAAGTTTTTATGGTATCAAAATGTACTATTTGACGAATTTGTCAAAAGAAAAAAAAGTCTCAGGATATTTTAAGCTGTTTTTTAAAACCCTTATTTAAAGTGTACGAAAATAAATCGAATTTGATTACTTCGTTTCGTTTTAATTATTATATATCATATAAGCATTGCAAATTTGCTATAGATTAATTACAATCGTATAACCCCTGGCTATCATTTTCTAATAAAAATTACATCGTAAAAGGCTCTTCTGTTCATAAGCCAATGTAAACAAGCTGCGGTGTAAACCAACGTGCAATTTGATCTTCCTCGTATTCGCTCGGCGATCTCACTGGAAAATAATCCCCTGCTCAATTTTTTGAACATTCTGTTGCTAAATATGATTATTTAGACATTTAACGCATCGTACACATAGTTCTGAACAGATATGAAGCAGCGACTTTTTTGAATTTCGTCCATTGGCGGCCCCGCCGTGCGCCGCGTTGAATACGGGGCAACTGGTGACCGGCTCGTAGGAAACCCTCGAGCATTGTGCGCAGAATTTCTACGGGGGCCGGGCGGGGTGAATTCATGGGGTAATTCCGTGTTCGATACACCGTGCGCGCTTAAGGCTGCGATGTTACCGGCGTCACATAAGCGTAATACCGGATAAGCCGCAATAATGCAGACCCGCTGTGCGTGCATGCGAAAGTGGAATGGATCCTGCTGCTCGGGGAGCTTCAAGAGCCAAACGTCCGTGGAGCATAATCATTGCACCGAAACGCGAGCCGGGCTACTTTACCTTTGCCGGGGAGACAAATCCGCGAAAAGTTTTTCCAAACGGAAACGAACAGAGGGAACATTATGCCGTCATTCCGTGTATAACTGCCGTTATCTTGGACAGGAAGCATCCTCGAAACCGTTCAGCCACTCCACGCAACGAGAAAGCACGGATTTTCTTTAACGATTACGAATTGTTCGCATCGTAACGAACTTTTGTATCGGCAAATAATTATTACTATTCGATATCGAACTGTTGAACCTCGATTGTCCGCTCCTCCAATATCAAAATCACCTGGTATTTATATACCTTATGACTGTAATCGGCTCAATCGAAGACGAATCGTTTGTAAAACAATTTATTGTGCAAATCGATAATGATAACATCTGGCACTTTAACTAAGTAATAATTGTTCTATGTTCTAATATATACATATATAACTCTTAAATAGAATGTGATGTTTCGAATGTTTAGATTTTAACTTGAAATATTGAAAAAGTCTCCGAAAGAGAGCAATCGAATGACTGTGATTTTTTACTTTATAGGTGAAACAATTGGATCCAAGGTATCTCTGCTGCCATCCTAGAAAAGTTAACGTAATTGCGTGTTCAACGCTGAAGAAGAAGATATTCTAATTTCCAAAGTGGTAAGATTTCCAAGGGTCGTAGTCTCTGGTGGCATCCAGTAGTTCGGTAGACAGTGAAAAAGGCTAAAAAAATCGTTCAGGGGTTGCAGAGTATCGAGAAGATTTTTTAATAAATGTTTGCATCGTAACGAACTTTTGTATCGGCAAATAATTATTACTATTCGATATCGAACTGATGAACCACGATTGTCTGCTCCTCCAATATCAAAATCACCTGGTATTTATATACCTTGTACCTGTAATCAGCTCAAACGAAGACGAATCGTTTGCAAAACAATTTATTGTGCAAATCTAAGTAATAATTGTTCTAATAACTTTTAAGTAAAATGTGATGTTTCGAATGATAGCTTTCAACTTGAAATAGTGAAAAAATCTCCGAAAGAGACCAATCGAATGACTGATTTTTTACTTTATATGTGAAACAATTGGATCCAAGGTATCTCTGCTATAAATATTCAATATTCTAATTTCCAAAGTGGTAAGATTTCCAAGGATCGTAGTCTCCGGTGGCATCCATTAGTTCGGTAGACAGTGAAAAAGGCTAAAAAAAATCGTTCAGAGGCTGCAGAGCACCGAGAAAGTTGTTTAATAAATCTGCAAAGCGTTGAACCGTGATGGATCTAGGAAGGATCTGGATAAGATCCAGGTCTATATTGGTTTCTAAATTAGGTTTCAGCTAAATCCTCGATCTTCTAGCTAGCATTTGCAAGTTCAATAGACGTAGTCTACTAGCGCATCATTCGGAAGCACTGTTGAAACTTAGTTCGCGAAGACACCCTCTCGCGGAACGACGAAGACAATGAAAGAATAAAATCCCTCTGCGGGATAATTAGCGTGAGAAGCATTAAGGAGACACCGAGCAATTTCGAGCGGCCATTTTTCACGGTAATCTGCGTCGTCCGCGCCAAGACCCTCCGAGATCGGTGTCTTCATTTCGTTTCGTCGCAATCATGGTAGAAAGCTCGGTTGAAAAATCGTCCGAGATGATCTAGAACGCGTAACAATTAACTGGGCCAACGATGGAAGCGATCCACGCTGCTGCGTCCTTAATTTGTTATGCACTTTTATGTTGTAAAAATTGCACTGGCAATACCGTAAATGCTCCCCAATTATCCTTCAGCTTGTAAACAAAAGTGGACAATTTGGCAAGAAGAGATACGATTACACTTAGTTCTCTCCAATTGTCCCTAAGCTTGTAAACAAAAATGGACAATTTGGGAAGATTAGATACGATTATTGTTTACAAGCAGAGGGACAATTGGGAGAATATACTGTATATTGTATTTGTACAGCCAACACTTTTGTCCAGCATTGTAGATCTCGAGAAAGCACAGATTTATAAAAAAAAAATTGTGCCATTTAATTGGACATCGAAGTATCAGATATCGACGGAGTTATTTACATTAATCAGTCCAGAATAATTGTCAAGGTACACGCGATTATTACGTCAATATTAAACGCTCCCGTTCGATGGAAATTGAGGATGACAATAAAATTCTTGAGCGCCTCCGATTAATTAAATTCAACAGATGTTACCGGCGTGGGTCGTCGATACGCGAATATTATATTCACACCGAATTTACCTTCAGGTTGTTTAAGTTCCGACTTTGCATTAAAGCGTGTCTCGTTCCGTATTTACGCGTGGTTAATAACAATAATTGGACTGTGAACATTGTGCAAAGTAAAACGTAACAATATTAATTGCAGGAAACTGCGACCGTCCAAACATTCATTTGCTTCTTCGACCACTTTATTAAATTGAAATTAATGTACTCTTACATTGTCACGACTCCTTGCTCTATTACTTTTTCCACAAATGAGCCAGTTAGAATGTTTACGTTATTATTAGAGTAATTCCCCACGAGAAAAATTAAATTCAAGTTTATTTTAATCGACGAACGTTGAGAACAAAACATTTCCAAATGCACTTTTATAATATTTACAACGAGTTTGTCACGATACGGTTCCCAATTTTGTTGCAAATACATAAAAAATCCACGGTATACGATCACAGGGCGGATTTATTATCGCCCACGCGGATCAGAAGTCGAAGAGCGATAGCAATAGGGACTTTCGGTTTCGTCAATTGTTCCCCGGGCACTGTCAAGGCAGATGAGCAGAGAAACTGCTCGCATAAATTTCGTCTGAACGGCATCAGCCTCGGGAACGATCTTCAGCATTATTCGCACAGCCGAAGGATAATCCGGATTTGTGCAATCGGCCCTCAGCTGCAACGGTTCGGCAACCGGATGTGCAAACCGGCTCGGATAATAACTAGCTGCTTATCGGACACTTAAGACGATTTCGAAACGCTGCGATTCCCGAAACGCCTGCAGAAATCGGGAATGGTCCACAGCTCGTCTCGTCCAGGGATCTGCAATTCGGTTTGCCGGGACGTTCGTTAACGCCTCTTGAATGTATCGCCATTTTAATCCGCACGCCAGACGTGCATTTCGTTCGCTTAATTATTTTCTTCCTAGAAAATGTTTTCGTATTTCCTAGATTTCTCATTCGAAATCGGAAGCGCATCGGCGAAGACGCGTCTTTGATCAAAAAGTTCTTCGCAGTGTTCTTCTTATTGCATCTCCCGTTGCTTTAATCTCCACTGCAGAGTTTCTTGAATATATTGTACTATATCGAATTTATTTCATGCTCTTCCTGCCGACTGTAGAACGAATTTATATTTTATTCGCGCACAAATGGTTTCCTGCTTCCACAATTCTTCGGACGATTTTTACTCCCGAGGCAAAAAGTGAAGACTGTCTAAAGAACTGCACAGGTACAATTCTCTTTCATATTGTACTTCATTTACATTTTCATTCTCATTTCATCCTGCTTCTTCTCCATTGATCGACGAGTTCTTCCGGGAAGAATTGATATCGAAGTTTCTTTCGATTCAATTTCAACGATTCCTCTTAAATCACATTGAGAAAAGAATTAATGAAAATTGACCAGAATTTGCATAGATATAATTCTATAATATTGTACTTACATTTACATTTTAATTCCATCCATGTCCTTCTCCAACGATCGACGAGTTCTTCCGCGAAAAATGGCCGTTAATGTGTCCTTTGATTCGACTCGAACAATTTTGTTTCATTGTCCTGCGTCTGCTTCTGAAATTGTAGTCAAAGAAGAATTAATGAAAATTGGCGAAAGAACTACATCGATATAATTCTCTTCCGTATTGTACTCATTTACAATTTCCTCTTTTTGCCGTTCTGCTTCATCGATCAACAAACTCTTCCGCAGAAAAGTGTGTTGTCGATGCGTCTCCTGATTCAAGAACAATGTTTTCGCTACGTTGGCAGCATCGTGTCTGCTTTTAAAATTGTATTCGTAAAATAATTCCCGACGAAGCCGATCGCAGACGGCATTAATAACAGCTCGAACTAAAGATTGACCATTTCACCGAGCAAAATGTTCGATAATCGCGTAACTAATCTGCTCTCGCAGTCCGTGAACATAACAGAGTGTCCGCGATTGTCTAACGAAACGTTAAGAGTATCTGCACCGAATGCGATCGCGGGGCGCGGTGTTTCCATCCGCGCGGCACGAAACACTGAACAAATTAATTCGATCGGGCTTCGGTGGATTGCGAAATATATTTCGACTGCGAAAGGTTGGCCGTACAATGCCGGCACGCAGGGCGCACAAAGCTCAGAAAAATCAGTTCCGCGTAAACAGTTGGCTAGAGGTTCACCGTTCTAAATAGATTAATTATTCGAAGCCGGTGAATTACAGGGGGTCATGTAGAAAGGCTCAATATCCGACTTGCCTTTGATACGATTTCCCAATGAAATTTGTAAAGCTTTATTCGCGGTTGTACGCCTGTTTACGGGACAGAGGGAAAGGGGAGCCGTTATATTTCGGTGTCGCGGGGGAGAGGCAACAGTCGTTAGCATGCGTAATTAACGGAACGAGCGGGTGTTTTAAATTTAACGGCGAAATTCATTGATGAAGTCGGCGCCCGTGCGCGAGTATTGTTGAAATTTTAAAACGCGCCCCCGCGCGATGCAATTTCAAATGTAAATTACGGTCAGCGGCCGGGAAATGCAGGTGCACGCCACTCAGCCTGTCGGTCGCTATAAATCGGCCTGTCAACTGCCGTTTTCCGGTTTCTTCCAGGCGAGGCTGCCTTTCCGCTTCTCTCTAACTACTTTCGAACCTCCTTTGCCTCGCGCCGCGCCGCGCCGACGAACCAAAAAGAAGTATCGATACGACGACGGCGGAAACGGGAGAACAAAACTCTCCCCCGCCGAGCGAAAATGTCGATGGAATATTCGCGCTCGGTGAAAACGCGGAAATCGGGCAAGTCATTCGCGTCTTTGTGCGGCGAACCTTTTTTTTTTATTAACGGCTGCTGCGCTTTTCTTTGGACAAACCGATTGTTCCTCGTGAGCGTTCCTTTCACCGCAATCTGCGGCGGTGAGATTCGATTTGCGGGGTCGGAGGTTAAGATGCTGTAACCCCGGAACGAAAAATCGTAGGGCGAATATCGAGGCGGCGTTGCGACAAGGAGGTTTTGATCTTTGTGTTCGCGATGATTTCAGCGTCGGAAGAATTGTTTCAGGTCTGTAAGAATGTTTGAATATGTATCGTGTGCAAGAGAAAATGCAGCATCTTATTTCGATGCTAATGACATATTTTTCATTCGAAGTGTGATAAAATTGGGAGAAAAAGTCGCGCCTCAAATTTTATGGTCTTGTTTCAAACGAGAGATTTGATTTTATAAATCCATGTTAGTTTTAGATGCGGAAACAATTTTCTGAACTTCGTAGAAGCCGCTGAAACTGCGCAGTTATACGAGCCACGTGATTCATTTTTATCGTCGTGCTTTTCGTTCAAAGTGCAATAAAATCGCAACAAAAGTCGTACGTCAAATTTTGAGACGTCGTTGCAATGGGAAAACATCAATTTCCAAGCTAATAGTGCCTGGGTTATGCAATACACTGTTTTAACTTTACACACGTCATCGAATTGGAAATATGTAAAATGTCCAAGAACAAAACCTATTTTCACATTTTCGTCCGCCTTCTAATGCATCTCGTATCGCAGATGCAAAAATCAACTTAGGTATGCAAAAGTAGAGGTAATATACGATAAAACGAGTCAAGGTAGATCATTCTGCAATTTTCTTTTACGAAGTTACAACACCTTCATCAAAATCCATTTTTGACCCAGGGTGTTTATCTATTCTCAAATTATTATTTGTAGTTCCCTCCAATGCTTAACCCTCGCTCCACGCGTTTCTCGAGTACTACCTACCAGCAACTCCGGCACATTTTTGGAGCAAAGCGCCTGAGATAAAGCAAGTCTTATTTTGAGCGGAAAAGATTACACGTCCTTGCGAAAGCGTTTGATTTTATTCATTTTATGTTGCTAAATATAAAAATGGGCAAAAAATGTTTTAATCGTAATGGTATCTACTTAACATTGTGCGAGGTCGGTGCATCGACGTCGTGAATTGTGGCCGAAATTCCCAAGCAGCAAATGCATCCTCATCGAAATGGGTAAATTTACTATTAATGATATTCTTCGCAATTCTTAAATAAATATATCCCTCGTGTTCTTTGACGCGATTTATTATAAAATTAGCATTGCGAATCGTCCGTTGAATTCTGTTTGAATTATCGAAACAAAAATATCTTCTGCGCGAGTTTGCCGGAATTTTTTTATTGTTAATCTTCGCTGGAATCGGCTCGATTAATAATTAAATTAAATTAGAAATTAGTAAATATTCTTCGGACGTTCTAAAATAAAGTTGAACAGCGTTTTTCTGAAAAATATCACTAGCAGCAACTCCGGCACATTTTTGGAGCAAAGCGCCTGAGATAAAGGAAGTCTTATTTCGAGCGGAAAAGATTACGCGTCCTTGTGAAAGCGTTTGATTTTATTCATTTTATGTTGCTAAGTATAAAAATGGGCAAAAAATGTTTTAATTATAATGGTACACACGCTAAGCACGTTTTCGCTACAAATCACAATTGCCAACGTCGACAAAAACATAGCATCTTCGGTATTATCATGCTAAAAACATTGGACTCCGCCGCAGAGCCTTCGGATTTACGGAACAAATGACGGATGTCTCCATAGCGGAGCCAACGGAGCGCTAAGGGTTAAAAATCGATTTACCTCGTAATTGATTCCATTACATAACAACAACACTCGTTACAGTAACCATCGGAGAGGCTGCATAAAATTATCTTCGTGCTTTCCACAAGAGAAGAACCTTTCTCTTCTAGAGCTTGACGCAAGGCGGCTAAAAACATTTTCGAGCAGCTTACGCAGCGATCATCATTCTCGAACCAGAGGATTTATCGTGGGCCAAGAAAGGCTTCCGGAAGGATTCGCAGCTAACGATACAAGTCCTGGAGGAAACTCGGAGGGTACAATTAATCGCCGGGAGGGCTGGCGAACTGGGGGTGGCACGCTCGATTTCCTCCAGGCCGCTGGGAAAGAGTGGAAGGAAACAATTCGCGTTCTCACGGGCTCCGTTTAATTAATTAGAGGCCGGCTCCGGAATAATCGGACGCGGTCCGCGACGACGCGTGTCTTTGCTCTATTAACCCTTCGGCTATTGCAAATTTTCATACCGAAATGGTATAAATATACTGAAACATATTACCAGACTGCGGATTTTCATGTAAAATAGAAGTTGTTTCTATTAATTGTAAGACAGAGCAGCTACGTACACGCATATTTCTTTTCTTAATTGGAACGAATCGAAAACAATGCAATAGTAGTTCTAAATTCTTTAAATGGTTCCTCTATTTTGCATTCGCTCTGCTAAGTTTTCTCGTAAATGCACAGAAATCGCAGTCTACTTATTGCACGCGTTTATTTGAATAATTTCTTGGAAAAATTGTCAGTTGTCTATAGGCGTCAACAGAACATCGGAAGCAAACCTTTAAAACGCGCCTAGTTAACCATAAAAGCAGAACATGATTTTCAAGAAATATTTCCAAAACATATAGTGGACTTGTTTAAAAAGAATAACTTGATTGAAATTAGAGGTATGCTATGCTTTCTCCAAGAAATTGTTAAGTTTTCTTCATTTTATGAGTATCATTTAAAAAATAATACTTGAAAAATCATCAAGTGAACAGCCTGTACCAAAACATCTGTTACTTGGTCATTTTTGAAGATGTTACACCAAATCGATTGCGACACATTCCACGATATATATACTTTTAAATAAAGCAATTATCTGGCCAAAAGAGCCATCGACTTTTTCGTAGAAAATCCGAAAGATCACATTTTCCGAAGATCGCGAACTAGTCGCGACTTAATTAATATTTCACCGGTCGCCGATATTTGGAACTGAGTCCGCGTTCGACTGACATCAAAGCCGGCTCGACATTTATCCTATTAAAGGCCAACCTCGATTTCATTAGTCGAAAGTACCGGCCGTAACTGACAAACGTATTCGAGTCGAATACTCTCGCGAGGCGGGTCGTGATCGCGAAACGATCGCGGAACGATGGCGACTCTGACGAGCGATCGCGCGTCCAATTGCGATCAACGTTTGCCCGTTGCTCGCGTCGAATTGCCAGGCCAGTTTTTTTTGTTATCGACGCCTCTTTGTCGGCACTGTTTGGCCCGGACCAGTCGAGGGTCTCTTTGTGTCGCTCCATGATGGACTTGCTGACCGCTGCCGATTGCTATACAATGCTTTATAGTATTATATAATAAATAGAGGTTGGCCCGTGATCGCTCTGCCACTGTTCACAGCGATGTCTAGACCGGCCTTTGTGCGTTTGTGGCAGAAATTTGTCGAATACCGGAATATTTTCACTGTTGTCCTGAGAATTTGTACGATCCCGATTGTCGATCTAATGGCAATGCCTAAATCTCTTTACAAGTTCCTATGGTAATTATTTGCAAGCTTCACAAAATATTTCTGGCACCCCATGAAAATTTTAAACAATCGTTAACGTTCTTATATTTGTTGGGAGCAACATTTTAGTGCCGTTACTCGGTTGTCAGGCTGATCGAATCGGTTTCAAGGACTACATCAACGGACTCATCAATGATTAATCAATTGTTGCTGTAGATAATTTTAAATGTTACGGAGAACTCGATAACGCAATAAACTCAACAGTTGAATAACGTT